GGCGTGCACTTTGAATTCGACGTACTCGCTTGTCAATTGAGTTGTTTAATTTCTTCGAAGGGGTTAAATTCAAACGTTTCAAGGCCTAGTTAGTCGCCTTTGTTTTTAGTATCAAGTGCAGGCATGCTGTGCGGCGCTGCTTGTGGCGCGTTTCCATCTGTGGATGCTCTTGCCAGGTGCCGTGTTTGTCTACAGTTGGGACTCTCACAGTCTCCTCTCGCTGGTGTTGTTCCACCTTCCAGTAAACTTGCTGATGATTGGCTTTCTCCCGGAGATCGATGCCTTTTGCTCCAGCTTGTCTGCAGCAGCTTTCCCATTGCTGGTCGATGGTGGGCTCTTGGCAGTGATGTCCGCTTATGTCATTGTGTATTCTTACATTGAGGTGAATTCACACGACGACTGTGCTCGAGAGCTTCGGAAAACCTATGGAGCTATTCTAGAACTGCCTTTGAAGCCTGCTATGAAAATCGATGAAACCTGGCCGGAGTGGATTGCAAGACAAGCTAGCAATCAGTTTGTCGCCTTCCTCAGTAGTTCTCGCTTGGTCATTGCCTGGGGAGAGGACTGGCCACAAGGCGTTCTTGGCGTTTTGCTTGTGGTGCGATACTCCAGCGGTGGTAGTGTGGGGTTCGCTGGCCTTTCTGCAATCATCAGCATTTCGAAAGGACTGTTGATCCCATTTTGCCAACAAATCATCCTGGATCAGCGTATGGCAGTAGTCCAGAAGAGCTTGGATGCTTTCATGGATTCCCAGGAGTTACAAGATCTGTTTGCAGACCTCAAGAAATCTTCGGTTCTCGGACCTGAAGCAGTCCTGAGTTTGCTACCAGATTCATTGAAGCAGCCTTCGCAGGATATTCTGACACGCTTCAACACTTCGGAGGCCGACCTTTTCGAACCAGTGAGACAGTTTCGGGAGGACTGGTTGACAAATCTTAGGGATCCTGAGAATTCTGAGAGGATCCGGTGTTGCCTTGTAGGGAGCTATTTGAAGCAGGGTCTCCCTTGCAAAGTATTGTATAACTCAGGACATATGATAGGCAAGTGCCAACTTGCTGGTTTCACTGCCGCTCAATGCAAAGAGATTGGTGGCTTCACTGCCAAGCAGTGCAAGGATGCCGGCTTCTCTGCTCAACAGTGCAAGGATGCTGGTTTTTCCGCCGAGGAGTGCAAAGATGCAGGATTCTCTTGCGGTGATTGCTACGCTGCAGGCTTTTCAGCCAAGCAGTGTAAGGACGCAGCCTTCACGGCCGAAGAGTGCAGGACTGCCGGGTTTTCGGCGAGGGATTGCTACGATGCAGGCTTCCCTCTTGCAGAGGCCGGCTTCAGTGCCTGGGACTTGCAAAAAGCAGGCGGAACTGCCGAGGTCTTTAAGGACCTTGGCTTTTCTGCCCAAGGTTTGAGGGAGTCTGGGTTCACGGCTGAAGAATTTCTCATGGCTGGCTTTCAAATCAAGGATTGCGAAGTCGTGGGTTCGGCAGACAAGTGCTTTGAAGCGATGAATGAAATGAGACAACGTGATGGGCGGTCCGCCCAATTCTGGATAGATCGTGGCTACACTGCTGAAGAGTGCAGGAAAGGAGGGTACACGAAGGAGCAAATTGAGAAGGCCAGCTTTGACTGAGCCACTGCCGACACTCTCTCAACTCTCAATCTAGCCAAAAAGACGTTAATTAACGCGCACTTATCCTCAACATTCCTCAACATTTTCGCTCGTCAAATATTGACATGCACAGTTTGGCTGCAAACACGCAGCCAGCAAACACTGGCGCTATGCTCCAGGCAAGCGCCTGTCTCATCCTGCTGTTGCATGATGAGCGAGTCCACTGGTCGCCGGAAAATGCCAACTGCGATGATCGTGTTTCGCTCCATTGCGAGGTGGCCAGCTTTGTTTGACTTGAACCCAGCAGAGGTGGAGAGAAGTACAGAGGTGGTGGAGGTGGACCATTGGAGTTACCACCAACATGAGGATTCGGTATATAAGTATATAGGTGAAAGTCTACCCACCAATTTATTGCTCATCCCCCGAAGAACCAGGCACCGTGGTGTGGATCACCGCGGTGCATGGATCACCGCTGAGGCCATGTCGATGAGGAGTGCAGCGCTCATCGGAGCGCAGACTGGGCAGCCCGGGGTGTCTCCGAAAAGTGCGCAAGCGCGCTCACCGCGAGCTAAGTCAAAGTCACGGTCGTGCAGCTAAGGTCGCCTCGCCTATCAGGGCCTATGCTACCAATGGTGCTTTTGGGGTCAGATCTTGGAACGCAAACTATGATGATTCATTCTCGGAAGATCCCACCTTCGTGAATTGGAGTTTGGAAGTCAACCTTCGTTAATCTGTTCTTGGGTACCAGTATAGCGTGTGGGATGGCTTGAAATGTGACAAGCAGGCAGCATTACCTGCTTTTGGCAGAATCTGTTCACAAGTTCTGAGTGCAAGGGATCAAAAACCACCCAGAGTCCGTGACTTGTTTGTGGGCGCAATGATTGTCATCTATCGACTGGAGATCAACATGGTGATTGTTTGAGTATTGTCATTGTGGACAGAAGTGGAAGGACAATAGTCAATAGTGATAAAGACCTGCCTGGTAGAGCAAGAGGGAAGGAGGTAACCTGAGAAGTTGATTTGCAAAGGACCCAGCAGCACGGGCTTGTTATTGAGTTACAATTAGACTTAGAAATTACTAACAGAGTTTAAGAAGTTTCTAGCTCAGGGAAGAGGTTGGCGTTTGAATACGGGATACTGTATTTAGGCAGGCAAAATCCATGGTAAGGAAGCATACATGCGTGAGATCCATGCAAAAACACAAGTTAAGCTTTTTTGCCTACACATCAACCGCAGAATGCAAGCCATGGCACAAGGTGGCAGAGCCGGGGGCCAGGGGATAGATGTGATGCCAGCTTTTACATGTGGTATGGACCACAAAAATGACCCAACTGCTTTCTTCTGTGGAACACATATTGTATTGTACACATGCCTAGAGCCAACGTTGTACTTTTAGAACCAGTTTCCATGATTGCATATTTATGCTCTCTTCTGTGGAGCACATATTATATTGTAATTATATACATATGCCTAGAACCAACGTTGTACTTTAAAGCAGTTTCCATGCAATATATTTATATATACACAGCAGACCTCTGTGCATTTTAGAAGATTGGCAGACTTTTTCTATTCACTCTTCAGCATTTCCTGTGAATCGGTAGGAGCGCAACCCAGTTGTGGGTTGACGTGATGGATTTTCCGAACAACCTCGGATGAACTCATGCATGTTTTTAGCATGTCTTTTCTGTTGTAAAACTCAAGGGCACAAGAAAACATGAACCATGTATGGCTTGGGCCAAGTGCGTTCGAGAAGCTTCAATGGACCTTATCCAAGTAGGTTCAATGCCTCTCATCCCCGAAGCTCCCAAATCGCTCTTTGTCCGGCCCGGCCCGGCCAGGCGATATGGCTTCGTACGAGTCTGTTCTGGTGAGCTGCGCGCGCGCGATGTTCTTGCGCGGAGAGTGAATAACACTCATCGGAGCAGGAAGTTCTATTTTGCACAGGTTGTGAGCTTTCTAGGACCGACCTGCTGCTCTTTTTCAATGGGTCACTGTTTAGGTCATGGTTGCGTTGGCTTTGATGATCTGTGTGATAAAAGCACAGAAGAGGGTCAGAATGCACTAGGCAAATGTTTGGAGAAAGCAAATTACGGAATATTACGGAGAGTTTGTTTGCCAGTCTTTGCCTTCGCGGTTGTTTGACACTCCTCCTTCCACGTTTTTTTCCACGTTGCCCAATTAGGGTTCTCAGTCTTCAGGCTCAGAATGTGCAGCTGAAGTTGGATCTGCAGTCGGGGTGCCCAGTTGAAGTTGTTCGCATGGGTGTCAAAGTAACCTCATGTCTCAACTTGTTCTGAATCGTTGGGGTTTCAGCAGATTGTGGGGCCCTTGTGATAGTAAACATAGTTGAAGCAAAACCAGGAACAGTCTTGTTAGGAGTGGGGGCAACAAAGATTTTTCGGTTTGGATTTGGTGACCTCTTGTGACTCTTGTGACAATGAAACCAACAGAAACTCAGCAAAAAGGCGTGGTTTCCAGAGCCTCATAGCCTCATCAGGAGCTTTTTTTCACGGGGCCGAGTTGCTTGGACCTTGTCATTTGGGGGCTAATGAACTTGGACCAGATGGACATGTCATTCAGAGAGCCGCTGTGCCGCGCCGCAGGAGTTCTCTGTCCGAGCTTTCGCGAAAGGAGGACCTGTTGGAGGGAACGTCGGGCCCGTTGATCTGTGGGCATTTTTTTGTGGTGGTTGATCAGGCGTGCTGCAGAATTGCTGCTGGATCGCACAATGAGCTGATTGGAACATGGAACCTCGGACCACAATGCCTTTGAATCTATATGCTTTACTGATTGAACTTACCAGGATACAGGATACTCCTGATCTGGAACCCATATTCTTGAGAGCAATAGGGGTGCTGAAGAAGCGGTAGTTGTCCAAGAGGCGCCACGCGCACAGATTCCCCGTCACTTTGGTTTGCATTGTGTTGCTTGCTTTGCGGGTTTTGCTTTGTGGAAGACCAAGACAGCCATTCTACAGAAAGAAGATGCTGCAAATGGCTTAATTGTTCTTGGCCTGCCTCAACTGCAACTTTTATACATTTCTTCGCTGAAAGCCTTTGCATTCTAGACGACTGGACTTGGTTTGCTGGTGTATGATGCGCGACAGAACAAGACTTTGCCCAGCGGGCTTCGAAAGCACATGAACGATCTATGTGTTGGAGGGAGATTAGCATCTATTAGCATGATATTCACTGCAGGACTTGTTAGTGCAGTTGCTGACCTTCTTTTTAGATGATCTATATACCAAGAGCACCTGTGCCTTGAACGTTGGCTTTGCCAGAGTCTTGATAACATCATGTTGGAGCTCTGGGGGGGTTCAACCCCAACACCTGAGATTTACCGAACCAGCCAGACGACTCCACTGAACCTCAGGTCGGGGTTTTCCAACCTCTTTCCACGCCTTTCCCATGAGTCTTTCACTAGTCCATGCGGGGTTGTTCTGTGCAACCCTGGCGCGGTCGGGCTTCTCCGGCGCCATGCTCCCGCCCTCCACGCGAGCCGGTGCTTCTGCTGCGCTCCGGGCGACGGAAGCGCTCGGAGCTGGTGGGTGCCAACGCTCAAGTCTTGGTGGGTTCAGTGGGCCGTCAGTGTCTCGGCTTCCGTTCAGCGTCGGTGGGGGTTCACAATCCTTTTCGAATGCTTGTGCAGGGGTAGGGTGTTTTTCCTTCCCTGAATGGTGTTTCCCCTTCCCGGGGGGTTTCCCCTTACTGAAATGGTGTTGTTCCGTCCCGTATGGGTGTTTTCCTTTCCTGTATGGGTGTTTTTCCTTGCCGGAGTGTTTTTCGTTCCCTACCAAGTGTTTTTCCTTCCCTTGTTGATCTTATTGTGCTGGTATAGCGCCAAGTTCTAATACTCGCTACGTTTTCAATTGAATCTCCAGCAAAATTTATTCGCAGCCGGCTGTTTTCAAATCCGGTGTCCGTATTTGGAAAGTCACAGCTCCCATAGTGTTTTGCTCATCGATGGCTCTTATATAGACTTGCAGCTTTGGCTCTTTCCAACTAGAGACGGAGACTTTGCTTGAAGGCGGCGCATGTTTTGAAGACAGCACGATGAACCTTCAGGCCGAAGATGACGCGAGCGAAGCCAGCCGACTTGGATTCTGTGACGACACGGAGAGCGCTGCCAGCTGACATGGTAACGTTAAAAGACTATGGGTCTCTAAGCGAGGGGCAGCGCATGCAGGTGGGTGAGCCTACAGCAGAAAGATGCTGCATGGTGCAAAGTGTATAGGTTTCAGAAAAGGCACCCGGTTTGGGGGAGAGCGGAGCGATGCAAGCGAAGCCAGCCGACTTGGATTCTGTGACGACACGGAGAGTGCTGCCAGCGGACATCGTAACGTTAAAAGGAAAGAACATGGGTCTCTAGGCTTAGCCCATGCAGGCGGGTGGGCTTTTAAAAAGCGGGACGGGGTGCGGGGGAGGGTGCAGCGCCTCTTTCGTGTGGACGCCGCGGGGTCGTATGTTGCTCTGGGTAGCTAGAATAACATTGTAGTAAGCAGTGGGCACCGGCCAAACTGGGTAGCTTTTTTCTGAAACCTATACACTTTGCACCATGCTTATCTCCTCATGAAGCAATCTTTCTGCGGGCGCCGGCCAAACCGGGTAGCTTTTTTCCCTGAAACCCATACACTTTGCACCATGCTTATCCCCTCATGAAGCAATCTTTCTGCTGTACTGCGCTCCGCTCACTGTTGGGCTGCCCGTTTGTCAAGCCGTTTTGGCGTCCCGTCACCGTCCGCTTCGATGAAGGCAAAATTGCGCGCAGTACAAATAGAAAGCAGGATGGGTGATGGTGGGTGCAAATTTATAGTTTTCAGGTTTGGCGGAGAGCGACGCGATGATATGGCCGGGGCTAGGGTGCTCATTGCCCATGGAACCCCCAGTGCTCATAGAAGCCCCAGCAAATCAAGGTGGGCGTGAGCGATGGCAGCGTGTGCAAAGGGTGGGCCTTTAAAGGCGGGAGGGGGTGCGGGGGAGGGCGCAGCGCCTCCCCCGCGGGGCTCGCGAAGCGAGCCCCCATCACATTTCAACTGTGGACTCTGCGGGGTCGTCGGTTGCTCTGGGTAACTAGAATAACGTCAGTAAACAGTGGGCGCCAAGCGTGGCAGCGGAGCTCTCCACCAAACCGGGTGCTTTCTTCTGAAACCTATACACTTTGCACTGTGCACCATGCTTATCCCGTCATGAACCATCTTTCTGCTGTACTGCGCTCCGCTCACTCTTGCGCTGTCCCTTTGTCAAACCGTTTTGGCTTCGTATGTCCCCGCCCGCTTCGCCTCGCCTGACAGCGTCCGCAAACTTAAACATAGAACCAAACAAAAAAGAAATGTATAAACAACTTCGACTGTTGCATTGTGAGCGCATGTCACCCATGTATACAAAAGACAGCTTGTTGTACAACAAAATCTCAAATTTAGCGATGTAATGTCTTCCTGCCTGTGTCTCATATCTGTGCTACGAAACGTCACACACTAAAGGTGTCAAATGTGAAGACCTTGCCACATCCACTTTTTAGACCATGTAAACAAAAAATTGAAAGCTTAAAAGGTCTAAATGTAACGTCTTTACCTCTGAGCTCTGCATAGTTCAGACAGGATAGATCAAACGAGCGAAGTTTAGACCTTTTTCTTCTCCTTGTGCCCTTTCCTTTCTTTTTATTTCCTATTTATTTTCTTTTTGCGATAGCCGGCCGCAAGCTAGACTTTGGAAACAACACACACTTTCTAGGGAACAACAAACACCCTTTCACTTTTTCATACACACCCGGAACGCTGGGAACAATACACACCTTTCAGGGAACAATAAACACCAGCGGCCCCACAAAACACAATTCAGGGCCTGAAAAACACCAGCCGGGCACGAAAAGCACCGCGGCGTACGGGAACGAAAAACACCAGGGGAACAAACAATTCCCAGGGAAGGAAAAACACCCGAGCGGGAAGCCAACACCTCCCGGGAAGGGAAAACACCATTCAGGGAACGAAAAACCCGCAGCCCCTTGTGCAGTGACATGCAACCACATGGCTCATTTCAGGTCAACCAGTGTGATTTGGATGGATCATTTGGGAAAGGGACAAGAGGTCGGAGGCCATCGCTACTAGGGTGGAGGCCATCGCTCTGAGGTTGGAGGCCATCGCTATTAGTTTGGAGGCCATCGCTTTGAGGTTGGAGGCCATCGCTATTAGATACTGAGAAGGCTTTGCCTTTGAATCCCGGGCCATTGGTGCTCTTTTAAGACTTGATTTGGTCTGTGGAACGTGGTGAACAAGAACAGCCGGGCAAACGCCAGGACCAAGAGCAACCTTTGATATCTACCCAATGTTGCAGAGGATGGGAAACCTTTTTTTGGTGTTTCTACAAAACTTTCATACCTGTAGAAACCTGAAGATGAAGGACAAGCCCGCTTCTCAGTTCGGCTTCCCTGCCCGCTTTTTCGGTCTTCCTTCCAAACTGGCCCGACCCCTACGTCTTCGTTTCGAAAGCCAGAACTTGGTCCGAGGCGGTGGCCGCCCTGTGCACCAGCCTTCCAGTGGCGAGGCGGCGGAGCGTGTCCGGGAGGTTGTCCAGTGCGATCGCACGAAGTGGCGCGATCATTCACTTGGCTCACTTGCCACGGGATCTTGAGAGTATTCTTCCAACGTGCGTCTGTCACGGTTGGGTTGGGATCTCAAGTTGTGTCTCTCACATTCCCAACCGCAGTGCGTTGGACATGCTGCAGGACGCTGGCACGAAGGCGCAGACTGTCCCGCCCTTCTGGCAGGTGTGCCGTCGGGGCTCCCACCTCGGTGGGAGTGGCCGGGTGGGTTGAGACCTCTCCATGAGGTGGGGTGGAGTCTCTAGGAGTTCGTGGTGTGCTCCGAACTCGATGAGGTCGAAGCAAGTTTTCTGGCTTTCTGTGAAGGATTGATCTCCTGGTAGTTTGGGGTTTGGGAGCCACACCGTGGCTCGGGGTTTAGTGCCTCATAGGCTCATAAGGTCAACGATGATGTGACTGGAACAAACAAGTGATACAGTGATACCCTTTGTTTGCCGACACTTCTTGTCCTTTTCAAGGGCTGTTTTGAGCTTACAGTAGGTGGAGTGCAGCTGAAAGATGCTGAAAGTATGTATAGATCAAATTCTTCAATAGCCAGTAGCAGTCTTGCATGTATTTGGCTGGATTTGCTGTGATTCCATCCTTTGCCAACGCATCCTCGCACTGCCGACCTTTGACTGGGCGAACCGCTGGCTCTAAATCCATCACGAAGAAGATAGAGCCTTCATGTGAGAACAACTCAATGGAGCATGAAGCTAGGTGAAGCTGGGCCAGCTAGAGAAGAACACTGCAAGGGACGCTCTGGGCAGGTCAAGAGTTTAGGTGTCCACTTCGATCACAATTGTTCAGGATCAATTCCGCAAGGATGGGCTGTCTGGGTTCCAAAGTGGCCGTGGTCACATACAATTTGCATCTTGGCTGCCTTGGCCAAAAAAGGGTCTAACCCCATCCAAAACGGTCCAAAACCCCATCACCTTCGTCCAAAACCCCCGTGCGATTCCTCCCGTCGTTCGTCGTTCGCTTGACTTGCTTCGACACCTTCTCAAGCGGCCCAAGCCGGGCGGTTTCTCAGCGACATCGCTGCGGACACCCATCCGAAGCAAGCGGTTCAGTCCTTGAACAAAGACGGCCTTTGACCAACCGGGGCGCGACAGGTCCAGACTGGACCGAAATCGGGCGACAGGGTCGACTCGAACTCGGTCGACCGCCCGGTGCCCAGTGCAGAGCTCGTTTTGGAATAGCAGTGGAGTTGGACTGCTTGCTCAACAACATTTATCACTTCACCATGGTTCTGACAGGTGGCTGTGGGTCAAAAGCCGGGGGACCCTGGTTTTTCCCGAACATTAGGCTATGACCACTTGGGAGGTCTGCCACAACCTTCGGACACGCACCTCCGCGCGACCCCGTGTCCACGTCCCTTCGCACGCAAGATGAGCTCGCTCTTCGACCGTTCGCAGTCCTGCGCCACGGGGTGCTCTTCACGACTGAGGTATTGGTGGTGTGTCTCTGATGAGACTTGGCGGACCGAATCGAGAAGAGATGGAAGGAAATGAATTGGTCCACTCAGTCAATCAGTCGGTTCGGGTTCCCTTTTTTCCTCACTCAGGTTGCTGCTTCACATGTTGAGCACTTCCTACTTCTTTCCAGGGATGATGCGATGCTTGTGATACGATGTTGAGCAATTCGAGGGGTGTAGAGATGCTTGTTTGATAGAGGGTAAGTCTGTCACGCAGTCAGGAAGTAGCCGCGCCTTTCCGGCCCGGGCAGCCCCCCTCAGTCCCCGGAGCTTCGTCGAAGCACGAGAAGCACGAAGACCAGCCAAGGAGTATGGGAATTGCCCTCAGTTTAAGGCAGAGAAAGGCTGCCCAGCGAAGTTGGATCAAGTTTTGTTTCCAAGACTTAACTTTTTGTGACTTGTTTTTTTTGCTTTAACCTTGATGGACAGAATGGACCGAACACATCCCATTGCGACACTGGTGTTCCCCCCGCCCATTTTTTGTCTTCGCGACCAGCACCAGACCGGCCAGGAGGCCGGTCCGAAAGAGGCGGTCTGCCAAGACAGACCTGAAAGGATTATGACAACAGACCTGCAACAGCTTGGGTTTGTGGTCGCCAACAGCTTGGGTTTGTGGTACAGCTTGGGTTTGTGGTCCTGCTACTGACCATCAACTCTTTTTTTTGTGGTGGGGCCATCTAGGGCAGGGCGAGTTTTTTGATCTCTCGGAGTCTCGTTTTTCTCGCGGGGGAGGCTTTCAGAAGCTGTACCAGAACATTGCGGACCACAATCCCATCGACTTGATTGGTTTTCAGGAGCCGGTCCGGATCGAAGAACGATGACGGTCCCGGATGGGGTGTCTCCGTCATCGTTTTTTTCGGCAGCTTCAGGTTTCGACTGCACCAGGTGCAGTCGGGGTGCAGTCATCTCGAGAAGTAAAAGATCCCTCCCAAACTGGAGCAGTCCACCAAAGGAGCCGCCAAGGAGGGGGAACTCCTTTCATCTACAGAAGTCTGGTGGAGCTTCGTTCAACCTGGGTGAGACCCTCCTGAACAAAATGCTCCAGTTCAAGTGAACTCACGGGCGTGAATGGGACGAGTCCTTTCAGTCTCGGTCCAGAGTCGCCTGGTCGTCACTCGGCGTTGTCCTCCCGAGTTCCAGGAGTGCAATGACGTGGGCAAAGTCTTGATTGGATCCAACTTGACTCACTTCCAGTTCTATGCACCCGCAGGCCATGCTCGGTCGCGCAAAAGAGCCAACATCGGTCGCAAAAAGAGCCAACATCGGTGCAAAGACTCAAAGGCTCGACGAACGAGCACATGGGGCACATGGGGGGCACATGGGCCCTTTTGGACTCCTTTTGAGCACCAAAGGCTCGCTCGGACGCACCTCGCCGTTCACCTTCCAGCGCTTTACATCGCCCGTGCGCGAACACCGCGCAGGCGATGCACCGCTGGCATGGAATGCGGAGCGCTTTGACCGCGTTGGAGAGGGGGGCACCATCGCTGTGGCAGAGGAGAGACGATGTCCCGGGTGCTGGTAAACTGAAACTTGGGGCAGTTGTAGAGAGCATGTCTTTTTGTTTGAAAGCTTCTCCATCTCTTGATATCCTGATGGTCGCGCATGAATCAGACTTTGCATGTCTTTGCTGTTTTTTAAGCAGCGGAGGGACTGCAGGGTGTCGTTTTGGAGGGTGTCGCTGGTCTGACAAATCTCTTTTCTTGGCTTGGTGGTTTCAGGCAAACAAAACTGCAGCTGCAGATTGCTGAAACATGGCCAAACCTGATGTCGATGCCAGGTCAGGATGGCCAAATAGCTGTTGCTGGGAGTTTAGTGTTGAAGGCTTTGGTGTTTTGGTGAGTCTGGAAGTTCGCCCCTGCAAGTACGTCACCCACTCTCTCTCTCTCTCTCTCTTTCTTTCTTTCTTTCCTTTCCCCAGATGTGAACCCAGGTCACATATAGAGTCCCTGCACAAAGCCACGTGTGGGGAAGTTGCTCAATTGAGTCACGAAGTTCCACACGGAAAGCTACCGGGTGACCGCTGACTTTCCTGCGGCTTCCACCGCTCGGTCGGTCGGTGCTCGGTGCTTGGAGTACCGGGATGAGCCGTGACGTGATGAGCCGAGTACGGCCGCAGGACAAGTACGGCGTTCGCTTCGTGAACTTCATCCGACTCGTTGAGAAGAAGAGCAGGGAGGTGCCACGTGGGCGCTGTGACTCGTGTCGTGGTGGTTCCGTGTTCCAAGCTGGTTGGCAAGCTGGCAAGCTGGCAAGAACCACTTTCATCCAATTTCGACATGTTTCTCAGCCAACTCACCGGACTTTCTTTCGCCAACACCAAGCATCTTTGGGCGCAGATGAGTCTGCAGAACCCAGACAACTCGCCCAGGTGATCTTCTTTGCAAACACGCATGGCCCTCTTTTGCAGTGCGCTGGCGAGAAAGGGGAGAAAGTGGCCGCAAACTACCTGCAGGCACGGGTCGTCAGCCGTCTTTTGTCCTGGCCTCGCGAGGCCCTTCTTCATGAAACAAAAATATCCCAAAGCCTCATGTCCAAGCATTGGTATATAAACATCCCATGTGCACAAGAGGTTTTGGCAGTTGCTTCTTTGGCCTTTGATCAACCACTGGCCTCACCCAAAACTGTTCACTAGGTCTTCACATCAGCCCCCCCAAAAGGACACCGTTGATTTCCTTGGGAGGAACTACTGAACCACTGGAGGACCTAAAAGGACCTAAAACCACTTTAAAAAACCCGCTGAGTCGAGACATGCCGTTTTTCTTGCTTTTTATCGTTGAACTTTTTCAGGTCATCGACACTCACAAACAGCCGGGAGATAAGGCGGGCCGGTCGGCTCGCTCCGGGAGCGAGGTCCAAGGGTCGGAGATCTGGGGGGGGGGACTTGGACGAACGGGCAGGTGGGAGGGGGTTGGGCTGGAGGCTGAAGGATGTGATGATGTGGAGGACAAGCCACGTTTGCTTTTCTTTTGGAATCCTGGCTTGCTTGGCTTTTCGCAAGGCGAGGCTCCAAGTAGCCATTGAGGTGAAGCTCCACTTCTGAGCTTGGGTGGCTTCCCGACCCCTCCAATTTTCAGACTCGTTTTGGAAGCTGGAGCTCGGAGTGATGGTTCGGAGTGAATCCAGTCCGGTGAAGCCAGACGTGGGTGATGTTGTCACCACCGGTGCCACAGGTTAGCATGATGAACAAGTCCAAGGTGCTCCACAGGGCTCTTTACTTTTGGGACTTTCACCGAAAAACCCCAGGCTTTGACCCGACTTCCGCACCTGGCTTTCTGGTGCCTCTGCACTGTTTCTGGTGGTTCCTGGCCTATTCAACCACGCTGAGCTGCCATTTGACGGTGACCCGAGGGGTGGATTCGCTGTCCGTTGGACTAGTAGAAGGCAAGACATTATTTCTTTTCAAGGATGACACATGCGTCCAATGTCCATGCTCTTGACAGACCTTTTTGATGGATTTCTAGGAATTTTCTTGGAAGATCGCTGCCGGAGTGCTCAGATCCTGGTGCTCCCCCTTTTGCAGGTGATCTTCACAGGTGACTTCAACTGCGCCAGCACGGATCCTCCACTGTTGAAGTTGCCTGGCCTGTGTAGAATGTAGAGCACAAACACTCGATCAGACACACATACCGACATGGATGAATGAACCAATGGCAAGACGCTCACTTTGGCATCCTGAGCTGGTGACATTCTAGCAGGTTGATTGCGCAGCAAGGGCC